TCTTACCGACCCTGAACACGGTGGTGAGGTTAAACATCACGGCTGGAACCCCTGTAGTCTGCTGAAAGAACATGAGGGACAGAGATATGAGGAGAGGTTTCAGGACGTAAGACTGCTTCAGGTCCTTCAGGGAGAAGCTATTTCTCTGGGCGTCTTCGATGGACTCCTTCAGGACTTTCAATTCCTCCTGAATGTTGTAGTTCTTCCCTGGAATGGAAATTTGTCTTTGATATCCTCCAGGCTGTTGAGGTATGGAACAACAGATATGCAGACACGTATTAGTGTACGTAAATACACTCTCTGTTTTATGTGTTTGTCTGTCTCTCTCTGTCTCTCTCTCTCTCTCTCTCTCTCTCTCTCTCTCTCTCTCTCTCTCTCTCTCTCTCTCTCTCTCTCTCTCTCTCTCTCTCTCTCTCTCTCTCTCTCTCTCTTTCACACACACACACACACACACACACAGAGTGTCTCTCTCTCTCTCTCTCTCTCTCTCTCTCTCTCTCTCTCTCTCTCTCTCTCTCTCACACACACACACACACACACACACACACACGAAAAAAAGTAAACTCGACTCTAACCTCTAAAAAACTGCAACGATTTCTCCGCCTCCTCATCTTTCCCTTTAGCGAGCAGAAATATTGGCGATTCTTTGGCAAAGTACATGCTAACCAGAAGGAGACCTGCAATATAGGAATTGGTTGTTAATAGAATACCTAGATAGATCTGGTTAGGATGAAATATATTCGTATCAGTATATATATATATATATATATATATATATATATATAATATATATATATATATATATATATATATATATATATATTAAATTTCATTAGCAGGATGCAACCAAATTTAAATGAATATATTATAACCATATATTTGATATATATTACCTTATATCCCTTACTTAATTACTATATGGAAGACGGTGACCCTCTCTGATCACTGTTACACAACCAGTACTTAGAAGTCTCTCGGGGCCGGTTTTACTAACTTTCTTAAAATTCGCCCTTAATTTGAGTCACAATCTCTTATTTCGACAAGGTTAAAACGAAGGCTAAATAAATCGTTGATGTGGAATTAATGAAGTACCTTAACCTGCATACTGGATCTCGTAAAATCAAAAGTGGTCAAAGGCATGTTCGCTTTACCGCAACACGGATTTAAGGAAGCAAACGGTTAATATTTCTCTAATATATAACCTGCTGACTAACAAATTCCTTTACACATATAATTTATGTTTTAATATGAATAGTAAAACTAAATCATCAACAGAAATGATCGCAATACTCAAACTAAATCATACAACTTTTTTTTTACCGTTCTAAAAGAAGCCATAATGTAATATTGACTTAATATCCCTTGTGTATAATACTTTACCTGTGTATAATATCTTATACCTGTGCATATCTTAAAATATCTTATCTAATATCTTACCTGGCGGAAGCATGCATAAGAGTGCTTGTATTCTCCAATTGCCAACCACAGCACCCAGGAAGAAAGCATAGAGGATTCCCGTAGTCAGCATAACTTGAAAACAACTGCCTAGGGGAAAAAAATATGAAAAAAAAAAATGTTGGCTTTGAATAATTCATTGAGAAAGAATAGTCACAGGAATAGAATAAACGAATGGAAAATGAGGTTGATGATAATCACAGTAATAACAATGAGAATGAAGATAATACCAATAACAGAACTATTACTACTTATAATAAAAAAAACTAATAACAATAATTCCAAAACAACGCATACTCATACTTACCTAATGTACCCCGTATATCAGCTGACGCAAACTCCCCAATATAAGGAGGAGCAACGGAACACACTGCCCCCATACAGACCCCAGTCAGCACACGGCCGGCGATCAGGAGAGCAAAATTGTAGGCCAATGCTGGAAAGGAGAAAGGGAGGGAGGAATAGTATTAGTAAAGTGGTTATCATGTTGTTAGGATCGTTATTGGTATTTTGTGGGATGATTATCGTTGTTATTGTGATTGTTGTTGTGTTATCGTGGTGGTTGTTTCATGTCACTGTGATCTTTGTCATTAGTATTGTTAATATTATCATTATTATTATTACTGTTATCCCTATCATCATCAATATATTATTATTAACATGGCTATTACATTTTCATTAACATTAATCGTAGTCCTTATGTTTTGTTTGCTGTAGGATATCAATATCATTTGCGTTTTAATCATAATCTTTATCAATATCACTTTCATTATTATTATAAACGGGATCGTTATTAACATTATTATATTATAACCATAAACATAACTACTCTTCTCGTGATTAACATTATATCATGCACGTTACTCATTACTAAAAGTCATCATATTTTTTTCTATTATTATTGTATCCGTGTAAAATTTCCTATTGACACAAGAAAACTTTATATATATATATATATATATATATATATATATATATATATATATATATATATATATATATCGATTTGAATGATAAATAATATATAAATGCATTTGTATGTAAACAAAACCCTACAGAGCATCCAGTTTACGATAACAAGGTTAAGGGAAAAACAATAAAAAAATGTAAAGGGAGGTATGCATTTACGAGGTTGATGTTTATGGCATGTATTTGAAAAAAATGGCCAATGTGTAAATAATAAGAAACGGCCCAGTGAACTCTTTAATAATAACATATAATTAATTTACTTTTGAATAATGAACTGATTATGATCACAAGTTTATTGTGAAAGTACTCGTTTTTCTTATAATTAATTAATTTCTTATAGTTATAATAATTTCTTATAAAATCATTATAACTAACCTGTCCACTTGTCATTTTCACATAACTGTCAAGAGCATCTTTGTCTCGGAAAAAAAACAATTGCCTCATATTAATATTTTTCATAAACTAACAACCGACACAACCCACCAATCATCAACCAGCCTGCGATGAAGGGCGGAGCCACGGCAAGGAGTGTGCCACGTCGACCGATGTGATTGGCTGCCAACCCGCCAATCAGACCTCCCACAACTGCCCCCAAATTAGCAGACGACGCGAACCAACTGGCTTCAGGAGGCGTTATGCGTAGGTCGGAATTCGAATTTGGCGGGCTTTCTGCAATCAGCTGGGCGACACAGTGCGTGGTGAAGCCTATGACTGATCCGAGGGCTAAGGCGCCCATGGTTGCTGCAAGGAAATAGGTTTTAGTTATTAAGTTATAGTATTTTTTTATGTTGAGTTTGATCAAAGTGTAGAGAAGTGAGGTCAGCGCATTGCCTTGTAAATAGAAAGAGAGCTGAGTTTACTTCTTTGGACCTTGACTTTGGTAACTTTTTTTGTGCTAGGGTGACGGCATACCTTTTTGTCCACTGTGATTTTAGGTTATCAATTGCGTTTGCTGATAGATGGTTCCACAAGTATTTGACCATCAAGGAGAGAAATCCAACACCATCTCACTTATTTAGCCGTTTCCTTAATTTTCGAAGATTCGTTTTTATCTTTTATTGATATGAGTATTTTGCTAACATTACGGTAACCATAATGTCAATAACAATAATAACGTAATTAATTTGAAGAGAATATAAAAGAAAACAACAACAAATAAGCAAATCAGGTGAGGTTACGCTGGGCTAGATCAGTAGCAGCTCGTGGAGGTGTCATGGCGTCTGTTTTGATGATTGTTCAATGAAAATATAATCATAAAATCATTATCTTCCGTCCTTTTTTGAAAATTGAAGAGACCAAAATGATCGACCATATTCACAAAGCATCCGTAACTTTTGTGACGTCATCAAAATAGACCCCCTGTGTTGTTGTTTTTTTTCCAAAAATAGAATCAGATGCCATGACACCTCGAGTTACTACTGATCTAGCCTTTCCCCAAAACTCACAGAGGACAGTATATATACAGGTGTACAAAAGAATTTGGAAGGAAAGAAAGGGAGGAAGTATGTAATTAAAGCTAAGGAAAGAGTAGGGAAATTAGGTGAGTTCTGCCTTGCAAATTCCTTCCTTTATTCGGCGAAATCACTATGAAATTGCTATATTCTACGACTCTAAACCGTTATTTATATTAGAGCTTGCTCATTTACCTGCTAATTTTTCGGCAGAGTAACATTAGATCAACATGGGAGCGTTTCTAAATTTTAGATTAGATTTCGTCACACAAAAAATCGTAAGTGGCGCCTTGCCTAAGAACTAAACATAAAATTCAGAAAATGAAAACAAACACAAGGCAGAAAAATATAGTTATTCAAAGCAAATAACCTCATTCCCACACTAAGTAGGGGATAAGTACTTAGAAAAAAAACCTTACCTGATGCTGTGGTAACATACTGTTGAATGCGTGATGGAGGGATGGATTCCATTGTGTCTCTTGTCATCTCGTGCTGAAGATCATCTGAAATTAACATTGATGTTTATACAGAACAATGTATATATATATATATATATATATATATATATATACATATATATATTTATATATACATATATATACATATATATACATATATATACATATATATATATATATATATATATATATATATATATATATATATACATGTAGGTATATGCACACACACGTATAGATGTGTATATATATATTTTTTTTTCTTCATATATTTATATTTATTTTCATACTCATATATATGCATATATATGTGTGTGTGTGTGTGTAAAGAGAGAGAGATATGCACATACATATATTATACATATATATATGTAGAGATAGAGAGACGACGGACATAGACAGACAGAGGCAGAGAGAGAGATAAACAGATAAGGAGATATGAATATATGTATATGCAGTTTGATCATATTCATGAAAAATGGCGCATATGTATGTTCTAAAAGTGTGTATTGGGAACTTACTCCATTTCCATTATATAATATTATTTACGCCGATGATATAAATACATATTTATGAAATTCCTCTTGGTGACCTAATCAACTTTTCAGAACGGAAACAATATATATTTTGAGGGAATATCCTATTGCGGTCAGTGACACTAAACACAATTTTGTTTCTATGTCATATGCAGTGAGCTAATTATTGTTATTATCATTATCATTAGTAGTTCTAGCAGTATCTTCGGTAGCGGCAATGATAATGATGATGACAATGATAATAATTGTCATTGTTATTGATATCATTATTATTTGTTCGTTAATATTAATATTGTTACTATTAACATTATTGCCGTTATTCAATTATAATAAATATCATTAATACTATCATTTTCGTTATCATCCTTATTACTGATATCACTATTATCATTATTGTCGTCAATCTGACTACAATTGCTGCTACTACTATTATTATCACCCTTATTGATATTATTAACATTATTGACCCCGAGATCTTTGTTAAAATTTCTGTTGTGTTTCCCTAAGTGCTAATATCGTCTCTTAACAAATTAAATAGATTCATCGTTGAAATCGATTTTTTCCTGAAAAAAAAGTATTACCAAGATGATGTCCGTTTGTAAAGCGTCATAAAAATGCAATTGTGTTTAAGAAAATTCCTTAGTTAATATTCAATGTTTTTATGATCTAACCTTATCTCTTAGGCAGTAAAGCTTTCCTTGCAAAATTTCACACACACACACACACACACACACACACACACACACACACACACACACACACACACATATATATATATATATATATATATATATATAATATATAATATATGTGTGTGTGTGTGTGTATAATATATATATATATATATATATATATATATATATATATATATAGAGAGAAAGTATGAATATTTGGTTATATATAGAGAAAGAATATATTTATTTTCATTATAAAAGAAAAATGCTGCTTATCTTATCTATTTTCCTTCCTTTTGATATTCAGCCAAATAACTATCAAGTTTTCTTTAAAATTAAGGAAATCGAATTTTTTATATTACTTTCCTGCGTCGGAATTATTTTCAACGATAAAAGAACCTTCTCCGGCACCTTCATTGAATATTTCAATCATTTCTTTTCAAAGAATTAAATATTCTGTTAGTAAGATAATAAAAGATAATTTATTTGTAGGCCTACGTCATCAGGGAAGGGAGAGGGTATATAAACCCCTTTACCTTATTTTCCTTACAACAAAAGTAGATAAAAACCCTTCCCTATGTTTCTTAACCTTACCCTAGAAAGAATAAATAAATAAGTACAAATATAGGGATGGATAAGTAATACCTTTCCTTCCCAAAAAAAATGAAGACAAAAACAGACATACTAAAGAAATGAAAACGGGCTATTTGAAACAAGGGAATTTCCCGCCATTTTCTGTGTTACTACGCTTCCGATTCACGTCACATCAGGTTATTTTGGGTATGATGTAAATTTTTTGTTTGTATTTTTTCTTACTTTAAAAAATCTTTCTTTCTATTTTTCTGTTCTTTTTTTATGCTGATATGAAAATTATAGTCTTGTCGATATATAGTTTTTAAATGCTCGTCATCAATAACTTTAAAATTATAACCCTATTTATTGCCATAATAAGCTTACCACTAGTAAAATTGTAACAAAATCAAGCGTAGAAATATGTATTTTCTTAAACTGTAATCTTACATAAAACAAAACATAAACCCGTTGCTAGGATTTTCCAAATACGAAATAACTCAATTTATTGTAAGAATGAAAAATGTATGTATATATATATAACGTTCGTCACGTCCTAGGAAATACCTAAATACTTTAGATTTTTTTATAAGCACTGCACATACAATATATTGTAAATATACATCGTTATGGACACAGACACAGTAACGGGCGTAAAAATATTTTAAAAAATAGATAAAATAATAGATGAATAAATAACTCGATTTAGCCTTTCTTTACATATAGTGGCAACAAGTACACACAAATACAAACATACACACGCGCACTCACACACACACACACACAAGTGTTGTCGTATATTTCGATTAACCAGAGAAAGAGACAGATAGATATAGAGAGAGAGAGAGAATTAAAAGATAAAGAAAAAACTTCTGCATCACAAAGACCTGAAACTTCGACTCTCTCTAAACAGGCAAAGAATTAACACGTAAGAGCGAAAATATACTTTTACAACCCGCGGACTTGAGTTACGGGAAGAGTGAAAGGCGGGGAAACCCGTGCCCCCCCCCCATCCCCCTTACTCCTACTCCTGCCCTCCCCCCTCCTACTCCTTGGGTCCTACCCCATGCCCCCCCCCCGCCTCTCCTACTCCTCTTATCTTACCTCTCCTCTCTTTTCCTCTATCCTCGTCTCCTCCTCCTCCTTTCCTCATCCTCTTCTTCCTCTTGCTCTTCACCCTTTTCCTCCTCTTTCCCCCTTTCCCCCTCCTCTCCTCTACTTCCTTCTTCTCCTCCTCCCTCTCCCTCTTTCCAACTCCCTTCGTCTTCTTCCTCTCCTCCCTTTTCCTTTCCCTCCTCTTCCCTCTCCCTCTTTTCCTCCTCCTCTTCCCCCTTCTCCCTATCCTCTCCTTCCCCTTTCTCCCCCTCCTCCTCCTCCTCTCCTTCCT